CAACTGAGTCGAAGGCTCCTTTCAGGTTAAGGAACACTGCGATCGTTGGCTGACGGTGAGTATGACGAATCTCAAGGATCTGACGCAACGTAAAAATCTGTACGACGATGATGATGACCGATGGTAATAGTAGACAGTTTGGTTTGAAGAGAACCTGAGGTATGATGACATATATATACGAGGATCGATACATACTTCTCAGACACTCCGAAAGCCCCCGTATGGTCGGGGTGGATGTCTCGAACTGTGACTGGTCAACATTCCTTTACACAACGCGGAATGCTTCTATATAACGACGCGTCTCAAATAGCCTCTCCTGAGGAAGCCCCACACACTACCTTTCCGTGGCTGAGGTGTTTTCCCACTAAAGTGAGAGGACGAAAAGTCGATATCCGGGGCCATAACCGGGTTGGTAAACCACTAAGTTCGATTAGGGGAGTTGGCCACAATCCCTGATTCCCAAACAACCAAAGGGAGGCGTATGAACTACACCCCCCCCACACACACACACACCTTCCTGCTCGTGGTAGTGGCCACCGACTCGACTGGGCATTGAGGCGTATTGAGCACCTTGGACGTGTGACCCCGTCCAAAGGGCGTATGATCTGATGAACTGGACACCGGACCCTAATAGATTGTGGTTTTCACGTACCGCAACGCTGCCTTGCGGGTGAAGCTTTCGCTGGCTGAAGGCCTCGGTTGTGATTTCCCCAAAGAAATTCACCTGTCTTGGTCTGGGCAACCTGACAGTATTCCGCCCACATGCAAATCATGGAACTTTTGTATTTTTGTAAAGATGACTTTACTGTCTATTTGGTATACAGTCTGGCTTCAAACGCGTGTGAAGTACATGTACATATGATAGTAAAGAAACCGTCAGAGGAAGCAAATCACTCTGGATTAACTACGTATTTTTACATCTCATTATCAGTTATTATTTTTAATTAATTCGTTTATCAGTATTTTTCTATGCTCACCCGCGTCCCACAACCACAACCTGCTGTGTTAGACTCACATTGCGCGCCTAGTTAAACGTCATTCCCGTCACGATGCACACTCATAAATCATGCGTAGCGTCCTAATACATCGGTTACATCATGTCATCGGGACCGTACTGTGCTGTTACCTTTTGGCTGTGCTAAACCCGATTATCCACAAATGTGATCAGTTGTGTAAACATAAACGTTGTACTTCAATGTACCGGCTATAGTTCCCGTAGTTCGAACACTCATTTGGTCCAAAAATATAAAAGGCTAAAGAAAAGGGTTTAGTTAGAACAAAAGGCAGTGGAAAGAAAACTAACCTGCATGATAGGATAGCGCGTCCACAGTTCAGCCATGATGCACCCTGCGCCCCACATGTCCACTGGACGACCGTAATAACGGTCATTTAGGAGGATTTCCGGCGGTCGATACCACAAAGTGACTACACGACCAGTATAGCGAGAGGGCCGTTCTGGACGTACCGATGTCATGGTCAGACGCGCCAAGCCGAAGTCAGCGATCTTTAATACACCCTTCCTATCGATTAAGATGTTGGAAGTTTTCAAATCCCGATGTAGAACATTGTTTCTAAAAGAGGAAGGTTAAAGAAAATTTCCATCACTGATTAAGAGAAACAGAAAACATGCACGGAAAAATTACTCATGTTACTAATCGATTAACTAATTTTCAACTAGGCTTATCATGTGGGCATTTGAATGAAGACATGGACAAAACACAATCAACGCATTTCTCAATTAAGTGAATGTTTCATTAGACTGACTGGAGCGTACCGGTACGCCCTAGGCCGAAGAAGGGGTTCGAACTTGGGGTCCTAAACCGGAGTCCCAAACAGAAATCAAACCTGTAAAGTGCCAGGACGGAGGTCAGTGTCCAGTGAATTGCACTATACATCCTTTAGACGGAGCCAAACGTCCCAGGGGCACAGTGGCACCAACCGCTTTCAACTAAAACGGATCATCAATTTTGAGGGGCCATAGGGCCACACAATGTGAAAGGACGCTGAAGAAAAGGGCAGCCGACACACCAACAACCGATGCTATTATTATTATTTCAACAGGAAACCAATGACAGAGAACTGGCAAATGTGCACAACATATGAACAGAAAGAAATCATAGGTTGTGGGAATAACAAGATCTCAGAGGATAGTATGTATGAATATTGGAAAGGATAAATTTTACAATAATCTTTATTGGTATCTTTTAATACACACCTTAGTGTGATGAACAGCGGACGCAGTGTAACCCATAGTCACGATGACCAGCTGTTCAGTGATGGAAA